GGGAAAACAGCTCTGCCCAACAAAAGTGGCACGTCTGATCTTTCCCCCACTTGCCCCCAGAGCCTGCCTGCCTGCCTGAGCTGCATGGGGGCCTGGTGCTTCCTCCCACAGCTGCAGTGGTCCCTGGGACCGCCCGAGCTGGGTGCCTGCAGGTGAGTGTCTCCTGGAGGGGGGACCACCCACCACTGCCGTGGAGGGAAGCAGCAGCCCACCCCCTTGCAGCCTAGGGACGGCTCCACCCACCAGCTGCTCATGCTTCCCACCAGAGAGACAAGTAAGTCAGTGGGGTGTGTGCACAATACAAGGGTTTAATCAGCCCTAAATTGAAGCAGTGTTTTTTAAAACCCGCTGCTTCCACTTAGGGCCCCTGTTTCAAAGGAGTTAACACTGTTTGAAGCAGGCTTTCATCTCAAGTAGATGTTCCTTTGGGCTTCCAGGCAGTTCTGAGGGCAGTATGTCCCTTCTTTCTCCCCTTTGAATTATAAAGCCTGGAACGCACAGCCTTGGGCAATGGCACTTCTGCAGGCTTAGGAGCAGGGTAGGGAATACTACAGGTCCATGCTTCAGCTGTTCCAGATCTTTTTATCTCCTTCCCAACCATTCACATGAGTAGAGAAGAACATCAGGCTCATTGCCTTTTGGATCCAGGTTTCTGTTGAACTCATCTCAACCTAAATAAGTGCAAGTTCCACAGAGAGCTTTGCTCCCATGTCTACTTCTCTCCAGAAGGCCTGTGAATCAGCACACACAGGCCCTGTGAGTACAGTTTCTACCTGCTTGTAGATTGTCAACTCTGACATTTTCCTCCACGTCCAACCCCAGCCTCTCCCTTCCTGAAGACTACCTGGTCTCAGGAAAAGAGCTAGTTGCTTGTCTTGGCATAAATGGGGAAAAAATATGAAGTCGGGGTCCAAATACAACGCTGGGCTTGCCTGCAGGGAAACAGAAAGTAAGAAGAGGGAGGCAGAAGACGGGGGAAGGACTGGTCTGATATTGGCTGTGATTGTTTGGCTGCCCGAGATGCTGCTGGTGCTACTGTGCTGCTTACCAAGTTATTACCTGTTGTCATTTAAAGTAGTGGACTGAGCTGAGGCTGTAGGAGAGGAGGAGGCCTCACTGGGGCACACTACCGTGTCATGTAGAGGTGCCAGTGAGAGCGTGCCTTAACACACATCTACAGTTGCACGTCATAAGTTTTGCTTGTCAGCAGCTTGAGGTGCAGTTTCCCAGAAACCTCTGAACCTATCTCCTTGAAACCTGGCAGGCTTCATGCCCTCAGAAGGGTCTATAATCCTGGCTGTTTTCATCCAAATCTGCCAAAAAATGACAAAGTTATAGGCAGTTTTGTGTTTCCCCAGTATAGCCTATGGGCGAAACGTCGAAACGCTGAAACAGTTTTGACGAAGCCAAATGGAACAGTGCTTTCGAAAGGAAACAAAACTCAAAACAAAACATCGTCCCTTTGAAATGGCAAAACAGAAGTCAAAATGAAACGGTGCTGTTTCACACAGCCCTAACGCATTGTACTGTAGAAGATCCCGGAAGAGTTTTGATTGGTCCTGATCTAACCAGATGACATGGAAAATGCCCTCTGATTAAAAGTAAAACTAGAATTCTTTGTTTTCCAGGTAATCCCGGCCTACAAACACCCCCTTAGCACTGCCCTTTACACATATGCAAGTGTATGCAAAGGTAATTGGAGTCAGAGCTAAGAAGCTCACAAGCGTCTCGTGGTTTTTCTCTGACCGTCTAAGAGTTGCAACTTTGACGTAAAAAATATAAATACCCTTCATTATGGGGTTTACTCTGCATTTATAAACAAGAAAATTAAAAATACCAGTAACTAAAATCCTAATTAGAATTAACTACTATAATTTTTACTAACCTGACACACTCAACAATGCAATGGCCAAATTAAAGTTACAATCAAAACCAATTAAATCAATTGATGAACTCATGACTGCAAGTGAGTGAAAAATGAAGCCTTCACTCATGAATGAGCCAGATGGGAAATTGCTGTATCCAAACTAAAATGAACAAGGTTCCAGGTGTGAGGTCACACAGAAAGGAACATGGGGTGTTTCTCCAAGGAAGCAGCACTAGTTTCATATTCACGGCAGGATACCACCAGCACTGTTGAATAGCTGCTGTTAGGAACCAAGGGGTTTTCAGGTGCTAACTTGTGCATGATTCACCCTTTAACTGTTCAGCAAAACAGCTCTGAGTGCACCTTGATAGCAAAAATATCTGGACAAAATGATATCCATTGCTCTATTACACATGAAGAACTTATTTTTGTCATCCAACATTTACAGAGCTGCCAGTGCAGCACTTTCCATTGGTACTACATTTAATTAGCATTGTAACATGTAAGCTATAAACTGGCACAGCCAAACATGATCCCGCGCATGCTCCCAGGACTAAGACAGACTGTTTGCTGGGGCTAAAAACAGGATTCTGCCTATGCAGGCGTGTACGCCAAAACAGACTCTTAAGGGCATCACCTCTTCTTGGGTGCTTGGGATAACAGAACTACTTGGATTCACAACTGCACTGGTTACTACCTAAAAACATTCAGTTATGTGAATGACGCTACCATACTAGTTCCAGGCAGCAGCACCAGGAACTTCCTGGGCTTATTCAAAGTATGATTTTAGGTCAATGCAGAAATGTTCAATGCTTCACATTTGCTAGGAGTCCTTCTTGTCTCATGCCTTAAGAATGCAAGGCTCAGTGGTCCTACACTCCAAGAAACTCTTGCAAATCTACTGATTACGCTTCTATTCTCACTGGTGAGATCAGTGGTCTCCAAAGTGGGGTGCACGCAGCCCAGGGGGTGCGCAAGACGATCCATTGGGGTGCACAAAGAAAATATTAGAACTTGTATTTTTATTTTTTATCTAAAAAAATAAGAAAGAAATTAAGCTTTACTAATATTTAATGTACAAATTGACACTGGCGCCCTCACTCAGTCCGTATGTTGGACGGTCACGTGTCATGTACGGTACATGAGGTATCCTGAGGGAAGAAGCATTCGTTCACTTTCAGCATCTTGCGACGTATTGCAGTTTACGTGTCCCCAGTTAAGTGGATTTACAAATTATATTATCTAGTTTTAACTAAACTAACCCTCACAAAATGGACAAGTGGCTTAAAAAGATTCCTGCAAAGAAACTGCGGATTAAAGATAATACTAATAATGCGAGCACAAGCGAACAGCAAGAAAATGGCAGAGCGGACACTTCTCCTACTCCTAGTACGAGCTCTTCATCAGCCACATTACAAGGTAAAAACAATGATGATCTAATTAGATCTGACAAGAAGTCAGCCAAAAAAACTCAAAATTATCAAGAAGACTATTTGAAATATGGATTTACATCCATTATCGTTAACGATGAACCTCGCCCTAAGTTTAACCAAGATTTTCAAAAAGAATGAAGCATATTCAATCACATTGCTGTCACTAAAAAATATTATTACTAATAATAATGGGTTTTTTTAGTGAGAGCAAAAAGGTTTTTTATACCGTTAATAAATAAAATAAAATATTTTTAAAATATTGTTTATTTCATCTTTATCTCATCCTTTTTTAATTTCTATTTTTGTCTATGTTTTATAATGTACATAATATATTAGTACAGTAGTACATGTATATAATTTATAAATAAATAAATATACATATATATGGGGGTGCATGCTCAACATTTTTTTTTACTGATGGGGTGTGCAATCAAAAAAGTTTGGAGACCACTGGGCTAGATAGTGCCACATATCCCAAAAGCATTCTTAACATGAGTACCATCCTGGGGTGCAGGTAGGACACACTGAAATATATGACGGTGTCAATGACAGGAGAAAGGGGCCAATTTGTAATAGTTGACATAATCCATGCCCTGGCCAGGGATAGTCTTAAAATTAACATGTATTCTATTGTGTGTGCCAGGAATGTCCACTAGTCACAAATTTAACAGGGACAGACACCCTGTCAGAAGCATTGATTTCACTTTTAACATGAAACACATTACTGGAGGAGCAGTACAAATCTAGATTCACTTTAGCGCTAGCTCATGTAAGTCAGGCTCACATGCTTGATCTAGCAACACATGACAAAATATTTGCCACAAAGTACTCCAGATCTCAGCCTTTGTGTAGTTTCAAAACTATTGCTAAAGTAAGTTTTTATTATGAAAATGTGACACACTCCGTTTTGTCTTCTTTCACAGCCAAATTCCTATTCTTTGGGAAATTGTGATGAAAACTATATTTTGAGAGTGCAAAAACAGTCAGAAAGGTGTCACCAAAGAAACTCGCTGTTTTGACATGTTTCTAAGGCTTGTACCTGCAGCTGCAAATAGCTCCCTTTACTCTAATCGCCATTCTTTTAAACACCATTTCAGGATGGGAGAAATAAAATGAGGAGCATAGATAGACATAAGAAAAGCCTGGAAAGAAAAATGCCAGGAACTTTACTAACTTCTGTAATTGCATTCTACATTTCCTTTCCCACACTCTTCATTAGCTTGTATGGACTGACATAGGTGGTAGCAGCATTCCACTATCCTCATTAACTATCCTCACTTAGCAACCACAGGTAATCTATAGCAATGTTATAGGGATTGTACAGTTTATTTCTTTATTCACTTAAAAATGAATAAACTTCTCTACTTGAATGCTCATGTCACTATGTAGCCCTGCCGACCAAACAAGCACATCTACTACCATTTGGAAAATTGTACTCCAGAGCCTTCTTGACTTTTCATCCATAATCTTATAAGGGAGTAGTCCAGTCTATATTTGCTTAATTGTAGGTAGATTAATATCCGTTTGGCCTAAATGTTTGCCAAGCCATCTCAACCGCTCTGATCACAATTGCCTCCATATCATCCAGGACAAGTTATTTACCCTCTTGGTCAGATTCTAACACTACATGAACAACACTTCCCAATATCCTAGATATCTCCCTGTACTAAAAGTGCTGCCACAGAACAATTAAATCATACCATGGCTTTTCAATGCAGGCTGAGGGGCTCCTCCTCTTCTCTCTCAGCTGCTTGCTGTGTTCATCTCCAGCAGAAGACCCTGCGCACTCACGGTAGACCTTCTTTCCAGATACTAAACCCTGTAATTCTTCAGCATAATCAGTTTGCAGGGCTTTGGCACCAGCTTACAGAAAAAGAGACTCATAAAAAACTTCAGCTCCTAATCAACATGTCTCTTTGCTCCATCTTTTTCTCCTTTTTTAATTACGACCAGATGTTGTCACTCCAGGGTGACTACCCCAACCACTGTGCTGTGCTCAGCCTGGGCTTTTTGCAATCTGTACCTCCTGTTCCTTATTCCAGAGGGGTTTTAGTTTTCATAAATCCTTGCTGCTAATTTGTCGCCAAGCTCTACAGAAGGGTCCAGTGTGCGTGTGCTACTTTTTCGCTCTCTGGAGCTGTTCTGAGCAGCGTGCTGGACAGTGTGAAGAGGACAGACTGGCATTACGGACCTAAGGGCTCTCTAGCAGCTAGTGCATTTCCAAGGTGTACGACTGACAAACTTCAGCTGCTAGTTTTCAAACTGTGCAGCAGCCCAGACCCACCTCCCTGTGGGGAGGGGAAAAGAGAAGGAGGGGGAGGCCAGTTCATTTGAAGCAGCTCTTTTCACAATAAAAGCCCTGCTTGCTGCTGCTTAAACACAGAGGGCTGCGTTCAGCCACAAGACACAGGTAAGGAAAAGTTAAAAGAAATGAATACCCACCTTCCTCTTCTCCAAGAACCCAAATTACAGCATAGGCTATAGAAAATGCACCATGGGATTGTATTAAGCCTTGAGATCAGCCATGGATGAGTAGAAGCAAAATTCAACTAAATGCAAAGATGTCCGAGAGGAAATCCTTTCATTGTCTTTATAGTATTATTTTTCTTTTCCATCGGCACATAACAGAGGGTTATGTCTTGCTATTTCATAAATATTCAAACATGCTAGAATATTTGAACCACATTTCTTATATACACTTATAACAAAAAATAACATTGGACTAACAATTATCACAGCTTTTATCACCATCACAGGACCTCAAGGCCTTTTATAACCACTATTTCATTAAGCAGTAGTAATCACTAGCATTAACCTATTGACAGGCAGAGGTATTCCCATATGGTGATGTGATGCCTATATTACATTGGAGATGTGTAAGGTTGAAAAACCTAATGTACCACCCTGCTCTGCCCTTTCCCCCTCCCACCCCAGCACATTGAAATGAACCTAGCCTCCATATCGCTGTCATCAAACCAATTACTAGTGCAGATGACCTCTTAGTAGGGTAAATTCCATTCAGCACAGGCTATATCAACTGAGCACCACTGTAGAGCCAATAAATTGGCACAAACAACAGGCTGTCATCTGTAACAGATTTGCCAGCTGCCTCATCCAATAAACCTCCTTTGTTCACCAGGTGAAAATCCTCTCTAACCACCTCGTGATGACCCTTGCCTGGTAACTCCTACAGTATCCTCCCACTCTCCTGAAATGGCCACTCTCCTTCCAGTCTGGCCCTTCCCCTCCTAGCCCCCTGGGCCATCTGCTATATTCCCACTACAATTCAGAAATGACTTTACTGTTCTGGCTCAGAGTTCACCTGCTTCCGCTGTATTGCAGGCTAAGTCATAACTCTCTCTGTGGCCTTCTACTTTCTAGCCACCCCCTGCATGCCCTGTAATTGCCTAGCAATCCTCCAGGCCCCCAGTGTCCAAGGGGAGTGTTCTAGCCACTAGGCTATTCTATAGAAGAGGGGCAGTGGCTTCTCTTTCAGTAGTGCTTTGAAAGAAAGGAGCAGTGGCAACTGCATTTTGTGCAGAGCCTGCTGAATGTATTAGGTGTGCTCTGAGAACACCTAACCAGGTCGAGCCCATCAGCAAACTTAAGCAGAAAAGCACCTCATTTTTGGATGCAAATTGAGCATAGGTGTGAGATAGATGAGCACTACGGTTCTCAGCCCTGTCAAGACTGAGTCGCTGCTGTTTGTGGATTGAAGCAGAATTCTAGGGATCTTTGAAATCAAAAGCTAAGTTACTTGTGAAGTTTAGGTGCATCATTTCCACCTATGTCCCATTTTGGGCACCCAAAGTCCTCTTTAAAGTCTTGGTCCCAAAGAACTAGTGGAACTTCAGCAAAAATAATAGAGCTTGTGACCACGGCTTTCCCCACAGATGTTCAGCTCCCAGTTCCCTACTCTCACCTTTCTGCTTGTTAGGTTTAAAAAGGGAAGGGGAGAAGGGTACAGTAACAGAAGGACCTAGTTTCAAGCTTCATACCAAGCCCTCAGACCAACATGAATGGTGTGGTAATGAAGTGAAATTCATTTCCACAACCTCTCTCCATAAAACCCAGATGTTACTACCTTGGGATGAGGCTGTCTTCTCTATAGCTGCACTGAGGGAATGAGGTTCTTCGGTCTGCCCCCTTCCCTCATGCATTCACAAACTGACAGCCAAGCCTTTGTCCTTTATGCTACGTCATGTTAACTTTGTTGAATATTTACTAATTTGCTGCCATTACTTGATGATGACAACAAATATCACAATGATGATAGACAAGTCCCAAAAGAGATTGTGTACTAAGCCTTATAAACAGAATAATTTAAAGAAAAAGGGTGGAAAGGGAAACAAGTCAAGTGCCTGCCAAGGTCACAGAGTAAGTCAGTACCAGAACCGTTATCAGAACCCAGTTTCCCTGAGCTTCCAACTAGTGCCTGTATCACTGGATCTCACTGCCTCTCTTGCAAAACTGTATGAAGAATGAGAAGGTTAAATTATTATTATTATTATAACAAACATTGCTATAATACAATTCTCTGTGTCTGTAATTGTGCTTTTCCATTATAGAGATTTTTAATTGCTTCATAGCCTCCTGCTTTGTAAGTCTATTTTTTCCTGTTGTTCCATCCTGTCTTCTAACATCCCTCATTGCTATTCCAACTCAAAATAATAGCTAAAAAAATAGGTGACTTAAAGGACATTTGAAAATGAAGTGAGTCTGGTTTGAGTTTTCTCAGCATGATTTACCTCCTGCATGTTAGCACAAGCCAGGCAGCAAGATAAATCAACTGAACCCAGCACTAAGCACCATCAGCTAAGTCCTGATCACAGCACAGCTCTCCACTTGCCTTTACCTTTCATTACTGATAACAGGTTTTCATTTTTTTTTAATTAGCACATCACAATGAATTTATCAACTAAATGTTGTAAACGCTTTTGTGGCAGGAAGAGACCCGGAGTGCTTGTAGTGATGTTTGCATGTGCTTCCACCTAGTGGTTAGGGTGTATGCGATGTAACTAAATAAAGATGGCTGGCTAATCAGATGTTCCACGCTCATGATAAATATGAACTGCATGTTGGTTTTTCTAGACAGATACTTTCCATACCATTTTTCTTCTGTTTTTCATGTATCCAACTTTCCCATTTGGAACAGTATCTGTTCCTGCAATATGGCAAAAAAGCCACCAAACAAGTGCTACTAGAGCTACTAACTCTCTAAATGAATTGTCCTTTGCTAAAAGTTTTGTAGGTTGACAACCAAGGAAAGAAGTTAACTTGATGAAAAACTTGTTGGCACCATGTGTTTGGAAAAGTCCTCAGCATTCCAGAGATGTGTGGGTCCTATCTCCCCATATTCATTCATTCATTCATTTGTTTGTTCTCTCTCTTTCTGTCTGTCTATGAGATTAAAAACATAGACCTGATTCTCCACTACATTATAGCCTAGGTAGGCATTTATACTTGTGTAGCCATTTTACAAAATGTAGCCAAATCAGGATGCATTTCACACCAGCATGACATTCAGTGTCAAGAGAAGTCAATGGCTATGCAAGATGAGAAACTGTAGAAAATAAATCCCTTATTTGGAAAGTTCCTGGATGGCAACAGATGCTATGAAAAACTCCACAGAGACAAATGCTATTAGGGGCTAGAGTCCTGACTGTGATCAGCATCTGTTATGAGAGCAGTTCAATGCACTTCTAATTGGGGAATAGAGAGGCAAATGTATACGTGTACTTGTCTAAGTAGTTTTGTAGGTAAGCTGCATCTGCTTGCTTTGTGATTCTTGAGTGTCGTTTCATTTTGGAAGCATTTGCTTTCATTTCCCTTTTCATTTTGAAATGCTTCAATTTATATGCAATTTTCTGTCAAAATGATTCTCATTGGTGCAGTGGTATGGTAAGCAGTGATTGACATGCCAAGTAATTCAGCTAGTCTCTTTGGATTCCCTCTCCATACAAATAACCACTTAAAATGCATGCCCAACATTTAAAGAATTTTGTCAGAAATAAGCATAGACCACTGCTGGAGGCAGGATACCAGACTAGAGAGATCACTGGTCTGAACTTGTATGACGATTTCTGCATCCTGTGCTGGTAACAGTCAGATCCCAGTGCCTTGAAAGTTTGGGGTTTTTTTCTGTAGAGGTTAGGCATGGAGTCCACAATAGGCAACCATCAATCCTCTGGATCATAGTGTGTGTGTAAGAGGTTTAGTCAGGTGCCTGATGAATCTGTTTGTACAGTGCTGCAATCATCACACCAAGACCTTCAATGCATATGTCTAGGCAAGAGTAAGGAGGAGCGAAGGCTGTCCAAGACCTACCTTCCCTCCCTTCACCCGCTTTAGACCATTGAGACCGAATCCAGAGTCTGAGTCCAGACATTCAGTGCCTCAATGGTTGTAGCTTTTGCTAGAAAGCAACAGAGAAGAACTGCTGCTGCCTGCCTAATGCCTCAGCAAGATCACATTTCTGTCAGAGTGATTTCCCTTTGCCTTTCTCCAACCAAGGAGAACCCACAAGGCAGAGGGAGCTAGGGTTTTGAGGTACCCCATACTCACCTTACTCTGAAAAAAAAGAATAATGCAAATATGTTCTCTAGAAAGGCTTACTGATTGATGCTTCTTCTGGGTATATGAGAACCCTTAGGCCAGCTAGGGTTGTGAGGTCATACAGTGAAGGATTTCCATGGAACTTCATTTGAGACTTGCTGATAGTATTGAACTTCTAATCTTTGCTATCTTGTTCTCTTTGGGAGAGGGGTATATGGCAGTTTTAGATTGGGGCTGGGAGGAAACTTTTTAATCGTGGACTCTAATGGGAGGATACGAGCCTACAAATTTCTCTTATCAGTTTGTTCAGAGCATCTAGCCATATCCATATTAGAAAATTGCACTTTAAGAAAAGCCATCTCCATACCCATGTTAGTGGTACTTCATAGCCTGAATTGTTTCATTTTGCATTACAACCACACTTCCACTATCTCGCAGTTTGTAGCAGACATGGGTTCTGAGACACTGCAGCAGCCAATATGCTATGCAGTATTATCCTGTGTAGGGCAACTATCCTGAAGCTCGGTACGGCCTGAGCAAACCAGACATGTTCTTTAACCCACACAGCACACATAAAGAGTTTCTGGTAAGAACAGAGAAATGGGGGATTGAATTGCTTAGGATTTCCTACCTAACATGTGCGAACCTGTCATCCCCACCACATAGAAGAGTAATGCACTCATGGAATGCAGTTTG